CCTCGTCGAACTTGAAAATATGGTCAGGTCCCGTCGAGTGAGCTGCAACCTGAGAGTTAGCGTATTTCTTCCTCACCGCCGCTGCATGTTCGGCCATTCGCGTCCGGAGTAATCCCCCGGCTTCTCCGACGTAGTTGCTTTGTCCACAATTGCACCAGATCCGGTAAACGACTCCAGCCGTTCCCTGCCGTGGCAGTGGGTCATTCGGTCTCATGACTCGGCGCCTGACCGCATCCTCTTCTTCTGAACTGCTTCCTGGAACTCGCATATTCTCTACTTTTGGCAAAAAAATTTTTTCCTTGCCCAGTATAGCATCAGTCACGCTGCCTAATGCCTTGCTATGCTTCAACTGAAGCTCCGGCCTCTTAGTCCAAGTCTGTTCATCGCCGGTTGATTATAAAGTCACCTCGAATGGAGTCCTTTTCGCCTATCTACATGTAGTCTTTTTGTATTCCGCACTCACTAGGGGGCCTCGTTAAGCTGACCAGGCCTTGCTTTTCTGATTTTTTTGGGATTTATTCACTTGTGCTGCCTTCTCCGCGCTGTAGGGCACTATTGTGGACCGCATCGACTACAACGTGGAGCAAACGCAGGTTCGCGTACAGGAGGCGCTGAAACAGCTAACCAAGGCGCAGACTCACCAGCGGAAGAACCGCAAGCTCCTCGTCATCTTCATTCTCGCCTGCCTGGTCATGGTGCTGGGCTCGATTCTGTTGGTGACCAAATTCTTTAAGTAGCCTACTCTACGTTCTACTCAACGACTTATCCTGTGATAGCCTGAAAAAAACCCTGCGACCACCTCCCCCTGCCCCCTGAACTTCTCCAAAATGCCATTCTCTTATAGCTGTGTTCTGCTTTACCGTTGTTTTGTTCTTCATTGGTTCTCTGCCTGTGTTTACTCTCTGTCCCTTTCTCTGTGCGACCTTCGTCTTTCACTTATTTTGACCTGGCAACTACAATGCCCTTGCTCGCTCCATCCTACTCCACTGACCTGTGATCGTGCTGCGAGCGCCGCATATATATTTGATTGCATTTTCTAGTACTCGTCTGTATAAAGTTGTCCTTCAGCTCCTCTCCACGTCATTCTGTCCTTGTATATGATGACTGTTTTTGCAGAAATAAAGCGAACAACGCCTGCTCCAGAGGGCCGTACGATTATATCTTTTTGACTGGAGGGGGCTTGGCCTTCTGAACAATTTGCAAGATGCTGATCTGATATGTGTGATGGGAGAGACTTAAAGTGCGCAGTTCCGAAGAACAGGAGAGCTGATGATTGAATTGACGGCAACAGGAATAGGGATATCTAAGATGGGTGACCAACTTAACTTTTGCCAATGTTTTCACCGAACTCCGAGCGCTGATACGAGCCAAGTGTCCAGGTGCGTGTTTCGTCAATTCCCTCAGCCCTTTGACTCAGCTGCGACCGGTTCGACTCGCCACTGGGTCTCCATCATACGCAGTAGACGTGGAATTTCGTAAAGCTGAGTGAAAAACAGCCACCCCTACGAGCATTTCAGGTAACGAACGAGTCACCCGCAGAAAATGGGTTTCGCTTGACGAGCTTTCGGGCTCAGTTAACTAGTTATCAGTGCGTGTGCGCCTGTGTCCAGCGTTGA